GTGCGGAACAAAAAGAGGGCACAGCAAAGTCAGGGAAGGAGGAGATTTACCATGGCAGAGCAGATGGAGGAGGAGGAGAGGAACCTCTGCAGTGTGCTGAGCATGGCCCTCACCCCTGCACCCCTCACAGCTGGGGCTGCAGTGAAGCAGTGGAGTTAAGCCCATGAAAGGGGGGAGGAAATTTCTTGGTTTCACGTTTATCTTCTTGATTCCCTCTACCCAAATCAATAAGTACTCGTTTTAATTGGCAAAAAAATAAGTTAATTTCCTCAAGGCTGCTAGGCTGAAAATAGTAGCTGATAAACAATCTCCCTGTCAAAAAAAAAAAAAAAAGCATGAGTTTTTTTGTTCTTGTTACTTGTATTTTCTACCCCTGCCTGTCTGAGCGGGAGCCTGAGTGGGAGTTTAATATCTAGCAAAGGAGAATACTCCACAGAACAAAACCCAGTGTGTGTAGGGTGAAACTGCTGGGTCTGAGATCTCAGTGTCTCCCTTGTCTGTGCTTCAGGCTGTGCATCAGGCACATTTCCAAGGCACACAATTCAGTTCAGCTGTTTCTGGAAAAATTCCATTTGGGTGGTCAGGAGCTTCTCCATGATGCTCACCAAAGGGTGATTGGTGAGAATGGCATAACGAAGTGAACAAAGCGTATTGATTACCCTTTAAAACTTAGTACTGTCACTTCTATTTAAATTACATATAATCATATCTTGGTGTACAAAACACATAGAAGCATTTTAAGCAAGAAGCTTACTGATGCAGATACTTCCTTTCAAAATACTGTCATACCCAAGCTGTGGCTGGAAAACTAATCCTTTAAGGGACTGAACCTGGAAAATCAGAATGGTGTATGTATAAAAATTAATTGTGTATACATAAAAATGACATGTGTCTTCTATCTTGCTAAGAAACTTGGAGCTGTCTGTCCCAAAAAAAGATGGGGCTGCTACAGTCTGTGCATGTCACTTTTAAAATAACAAAATGGTGCTATCATGTAGGCTGCTAGAGATCATCTAATTCTTCCATGAACATACTTTGAAAATATGTTCAATATTTGAGATGTTTTAGAACCTTGGTTATCAGATTTTGAAAGGAAATTAGGCATTTGCCAGAATTGTTAGAGATGTGTAGGATATTAGGTTGTTAATTCCCATGGGAATTTTAAGTGATACTCATGTTTTATGTTTTCTATCAAAGATATATATCTTTCTGTGCAATTACATAGAGCAGTTAACTTTTTTTGTGCTTCCAGCAATTCACTTTCAGTGTTGCTGTCCACACATGAGGCTGCATTTTCTCTGTGTGGTGATTATGGCTGAGAATTCCCTTTTCCATCTTTGAACATTTTTCTGTTACTGTAGTCTGAACTTTCCTGCCATTTTAACAACTTTGATGCCTCTCTAAATAATTAGCCAGGTCTAAAATGGTAACTTTGACATGTCTCCAGTTGCTAAAAAAATCCTCAAAGTTTTGTAAACAGACTGAAATTCTGGAACATTTACTGGTAACAGTTGTGTAAAAGGATAGCTTGTAAATGCTTTTCAGATTATGATGGAAAGTATGAGCCTGTGTGGAACACAAGTCTTTTTCCCTGTTCCTGGTTGTGGGACAATACCTTTCATGCAGCTGGCAGTGAAACTTCTAAAGCTTGTGCTTTTAAAACTTGCAGTTCTATTTATTATTACTGTTGTCAATTATGTTTAATTTTGAAAAAAATGCTGACAGGGAAGGCTTAAAGAATGAACCAGAAAGTAATTTCTTCAGCCATATCAAGAAGAGAAAAATGAATAGATGAAGGGTTCAGAAGGGATTCAAATGAAGTTAAATAGTCCAGCCAGTAAAGGATGAGTTTGGTTTAGATTCCACGACCTTGTCTTGCCTCAGGGGTTATGTTCCTCCAGCTGAATTTTGTTTACTAGTGAAGGAGACTGCTGTAAATATGGGGCATATGACCCACATTGGTAAATGACACATCACCTCTTAAAGGCAGCTTACTCCACTGGCAGATTCTAGAGTTGTCTTGAATCTTTTGTAGGTGTCTGGAATATGAAAGGCTAATTTGAATATGGGATGTGTGTCTGGGACCTTTATTACTACACATGTCTCAAATACTCAGCAGAGGTTTAGAAAACTTAACAGGAGGTAGCAAATTGTTCATACAATGTTTTATGCTGAATGATAACACAGATAATAATACGATAATAATGGGATTTTTCTCAGGAAATCCTCAATCACCTGCTGCAACCAAACATCTGTTTGGGTTTGTATTGCATTTAAAATTGGAATGGTGTCTGTGGGTACTTGGGATTTTATTTACCTCTTGAACCTGCAGAGGTAAAATTTCATTCGGTCTGGAAAAAACATTTGATAAAGGACTGAGTAGATGCTGATGTAATTTTTTTCAAGTGAAAACAGTGAAACGTATGTGTCATCTCTGCCTTTCGTCCTCCTCCCCTTTCCTTTTTACTGGTCTTAAGCATGACTTATTTTGACCCTTGGGTCACGGTCCAAATGTACTTCAGAATCCATCATCTCTTTCCTGCCCTGTGGCTTTGTTGAATCAGTGTGGTATGTACTTGTCTCTCTCTTTATACCTTATTTTCTTTTTCTTAATAGGCCTACTGTTGAACAAGTCCCTGCTGTGTTTAAAATAGGACTTTGTTCTGCTCTTAGCCCCAAGACCCCTTAGTCATAAAAGTCCTTGTTCTGTAACTTCTGTTCATTTGTTTTCCTGTTTGGAGATTTTATTTTCCGCTTTGTTTCTCCCTCCTCTTGTGCTGGTGCTCAGTCTGTGAGCAATTGTTGAACTCATCCAATATTACACAGAGGAATGAGGGAAATGGCACTGTATACTTTCTTCCTTTCAGTTCTAATTCCTTTCAAATAAAGCCCACAAAATATTAATAAAGGGAGCAGCCAAAATAAACTATTTTGAACACAATTTTTGCCTGTAAATAAAGCAGAATTTTCCTGTAATTTCCTGTTGGATATTTTTACTTGACTTTCCATCTGAAATAGATATTGGATGCCACCAATACTTATCCAATACCATTTGGTAAGTGTGGTGGCATTAAAGTTGTTATAAAGCAAGAGACAAAAGAAAAGCTGCCTGTTTTCTGAAGATCATAGTCATTCACAGAATCACAGTTTTTCTTTCTCTTACACTGCTCCTCCTCTGTGTGCTCATCACTGATCCTGGTTAGGAAGGACTGGATGTGTACTTGAGTGAACCTCTCTGCCTGGAAAGGGATGGGGAACCATTTAGTGTCAAATCATTGCCTATTATGATGGAAGGGAAAGCTACAGTGTGGCTTTAGTTGTAATTCTGCATTAAGGTGGTGTAAGAACTGATAATGTATTTTCCATAGTGAAAGACAAGCTGCTATTTTCTTAGGTTGTAGAATTTCATCTGCATAAATAGATGGACAAATAAAGGCCAAATTTTACATTAATTTATCAAAATTTGTCTGCATCACTGAATGATATTTCTGTTCGCAGTTCTGCTTGCACTTCCTAAGGTGCCATTACATGATGGTTTCTAAAGGATTGCTCTGTCATTTTGCTTTTAGATTGTATTTGCAAGGTTGTGAGGGAGGGGAAATGTAATGCAAGCATAATATGAAAGTTCTGGTAACAAAATTTGCATTTTGTGAATCTGAACATCTTTCTTGGATTGAAATTCAGTCATTTCCAAACTCTCAGCTTTTCATCTGAATTTATAGATGGTTGAAAGATCCAGAGTCTAGCATAAATCTGAGTTACCTGTTAAATGCTTCACATAAAAGAATGTTCATCTTGGCGCTTGCATATTTCAGTATAATTGATTCATGTGAAGAATGTAGGAGGGCACATGTAAAAATAGTGCATTTTAAATTTCTTTCTAGTGGAGCCCAATTATATGGTAAATATTCTCATATTTTTATTTCTCCATAAAGGCATGTGTAGGTCATTCTTGAGCAATGATCAATTGTATGGAAAGAGAATAGAAAATTTCTGCTTCAGAATTCAGACTGATGTTTTCCTCACTTACCAAATTATCATCAAAGCTATTCATTCAAGATTTTATCTAGAAATATCTTTCTAGAGTACAAGTAGATAAGTTAAAAGAAAAAAAAAGTTTAAGGATGATTAAATAATAAAAATACAAATAGTTTCAACAAAGAAGAAAGAAAATTAATTCAGTGTAGTCTGATTTTTTTGCATTTCTTTATCTGCAGAAAGATTGATTTGTGATCAGAAAAGGAGTGTTGTTTAAAACAAAATTTCTCAAGCTTTGAGATATTTTAGAGTGGTTTCTGCTCTTCTTTTAGTTGCAGCTCTTTCCTGCTTTATTCACTCTTCTCTAGAGCAGAGATGCAAACTAATATATGCTTATTAAAATTTATGTTAGTGTCATTTCATATAATGTGACTTTAAAATAAATAGTATTAAAGAAGTAAACTGCAAGAAATTTAAGCATAAGAAAAATACTTCTTTGCTTATGAGGATGATCAGGAACTGGTGTGAGTTTTCTGGGCAGGTTGTGGAGTTTCCACACCTGGACATGTTCAGAGCTCAGCTGGGTGTGGGCCTGCACAATCTGCTCCAGTTCACCTTGCTTTGAGCAGAGGATTTAGAGTAGGCACCTCCAGTTATTAATCATTCTCTAGTGTGGTGAAAGTCTTGTCTTCTGCATTTGGAGGTGATTCTGCAGTGTTGTTAAATATTTAGGATGAAAATCTCAGTGTAGTTTGCAGCTGTACGTTAAAGGAACTTACTTCTGTAGAGTTCTTCAGGCTATGACCAAGGAGATCTATTAGTATGTGAATTCAAGAATCTGTTAAGTTTTGAGAGATCTGTGTGTATTTGAATTAAGCATAATTAAATATAATCTTCTCAGTGTTCTTTGTAAAGATTAATGAATTTATTAGAAAGTTCAAATGTTTATGTCTTTCCAAACATTGTGTTCTAAACAGCTTGAATGTATAGCTAATCTGCAACTACCTTCTTATCTTCCACAGATCTGAAGAGAGAAGCCAGTATTTGTCACATGCTGAAGCATCCTCACATTGTTGAACTGTTGGAGACATACAGCTCAGATGGAATGCTTTATATGGTCTTTGAGTTGTAAGTTTCTCTCCTTGATTCTACCTTTCTGTGTTGTCATTTGCTAAATAAAATCCTAAAAGAATGTCTGCTCACACCTGTAGGTTTTGTAGCTCAGAGGTCTTGAGTGCTTTGAAAATAGTTATTTCTGGCAAGTCCAGGTTGTCCCAAATAAAAAAAGAAAGTTGTCCCCCTGTCTAAGTGGTGAACACCAGGGCTTTCTAAAGACAGGCATAACCTTTTTTGATGGCTTCAGGCTAAGAGGACAAGTTGAAAATCTGCTGGTAGATCTTTGTCATCTTTGGGTAACTTGGGGGTATTTTGTTGCAGCTGTAAAATTTTCTTTATTTTTTCCATGCTGTTGTTTCTTTAGCACTGCTTTTCCATTATTAGATAAGAAAGCAAGATTATTAGTGTATTTAAGTATTCCTCTAAATCAATATACCTGTTCACAATATATGAAAAGAGGCTTTTGTCTAAAACATTTGTTTTGGAAATTTGAATGCAAGAGTTTAGTTGTAAGAGGGAACAAAACAAAACTTTTCAGCAATGGACATGTATTTTTATTCAACATCAAGAAACAAAGAAGGGGGCAGCCCCAAAATTACCACATTCTTTCTTTGAGAGAAAATTATTAGTTCTTCCTGAGTTAGGTTTTATCTGAATGGGAAGGATAGAACCAGACATGTGAAATTATCTTTTGTGCATGTTCTTTCTTTGATCTTCTCTTCCTACCAGCTCTTCTTTTTATGCTCCCTAGATAATCATTCTTAGTCAGTCTGGGCATATGTATTTGTACCTCTTAAATTCCTCTGATCTTCCTCCATTATGTTTTCTGATGGATTTGAGCTGGTGATGTTGGAGTAACCACATCATACTGGCTTGTTAGGTAAAACTGCTTTGCCCACTAGAGCCAAGAATTTGATTTGAGATGTCCACATAAAAAATACCACATTTTGACATGTTTTACCATTTTGGTAGTAGAAAAGCCACAACAAAAACATTAGGTAAAGCAGAAAATTGTTGTTTGCAAGTCTTCTGTGTTTTTTAGATGAGTTTATAAACTTACAGTTTTGTGAAATAATTGTTTTGTGCTTTACATTTTGATTCAATACTGACTTTGCTTTTTATTTTGAAAATCCCAAAGCATGAACTAAGGGACTTTAATTACCCTATTATGAAATAATTATATATACCTTGGATAGTCATACTCAGATAATTAACAAGATTTTGAAATGGAAAAAAAAGGGTTTGCTTCTATTTTTACCATGCTCATAGCTCAGAAATATGAGACAAAAGCAGTAATTATTTTTTAATGGCAACCCTATTATAATTTATGTTTGTATATATAAAAAGCAAGTCTGAACAATTAGAATTACTACACAAATACTGCACCTGACTTCAGGCCACATGAAAGAAGGAATTACAAAGCTAAATTATTTGAGGGATGATGATTGTTTATCATATGTATGTCCTTGTCTCCTTTGTACACAACAATCGTCAGTCTTTTGTAGCCCTGATAGAAAATGTGGCAGTGGGAACACCTGTGCTCAAAATGTGGGAGGGAATAAAAGAGCTGTGGCAGGATGTGTTGTTGTGCTGGAGGGGATGCTTTGGTGAAGTGATTCAGTAGCAGACTGGTGTTTGTGTGGAGTGAGACTGGGTCTGAGCAGTTAGGGGCACACTCTGTAACTGTGACCACAAAAACAAACTTGGAGTTGGCAGAAAAGCATCTCTGTACATGTAATTCATTTCCCCCCATACTGCTTTCTGTTCATTATGCTGTTATTGTAAGCAGCTCAACTGATTCACAGCAAATTTCTGTCTACAGCAATAAAATACATTTCATAGGGTCTGGTTACTCTGAGGTGACTGAAGGGGAAGACAACACAGATCTAGAGAGGAGACATAAACCCAGCTGTGATGGGTGATTTGTGGGCTGGCAGGTGATTTACATGAAAACCAAGGCAGGTCCAGCAGATGAAATGCATGGAATGACCAAACCTAAAACTTTGTGCCATCAATTCGTACGTAAATGATGCATCAGTTCACTGTGGTTTCATAGGCTGTGAGCTGCATGGGGCAGCTGCTAGGGGGAGGACCCTGAATCTTGCCAAACCTACTGATACAGGAAAAGTACAAGTGAAATAAGAAAATGTAGCATGTACCTGGTAGCAACTGGTTGAAGCACTCGGGAAAATGTACAATTTGTGCCCAATTTTGAAAGCTTTTGTGAAAATAAACATTTTAAAAATCAAACCGTGATTCATTGAAGCACTGATGAACAGTAGCAATGAGGTTTAACACCCAAAAAACGAGCTCTGTTTTGAACCCCTTACTCATACACAAACTCAAGTGCTCTCTAGAATGGCCTATATCTCAGATTAATAGGCTGCACGGTGCTGCTGTAATAAACTGCAGTGAAGCAGGTGCTCATAAGAGACAAAGTGTATGTGTAGAATAAGAAGCAGACCCTATCCCAGGAGGTCTTATTGCTAAGGTGAAAATATTATTTTAAAAGTATTTATAAAAATAAACGCATTTGTAATGCATTGTTACTGCATTACCGATGAGAGAAGATCTGCCTGTGCAAAACGATTTCCCTCACAAACATCTCAGCTGCCCCCCAGAGGGACTCTTTACCCTGAAGGAAATGATCCCTTGGAGGCTCTGGAGACACCTTACAGCTGAGAAGGGCCAGTTCTACTCTCTGTAATAGAGTTGCAATTTTCTTTCCCATTCTTGGTGTTATTTGCTGGCAGCTGTATCGAATCATGGGGTCATTTAGGTTGGAAAAGACCCCATAAGATCATCGAGTCCAACCATTAACCCAGCAGTGCCAAGTCCACCACTAAACCACATCCCTGAACTTCACATCTACACATCTTTTAAATAACCCTGGGGATGATGGCTACACCATTAACCTGGGCATTCTGTTCTCATGCTTCACAACCCTCTCAGTGAAGAAATCTTTACTGCTATCCAATGTAAACCTCCCCTAGCACAAATTGAGGCCATTTCACCTTTTCTGATTGCTTTTGTTACCTGAAAGAACAAACCAACCCTGACCTGGCTACAACCCCTTTCAGGCATTTGTAGAGACTGATGAGGTCCCCCAAAAATCTCCTGGATTTATTTGGTATACAGATGTCACTTAATATACTCTATTGCTTATTACATTTTTCCCTATCAGTGAGAATACTTTGAGAAGGGTCACAGCTACTTGGAATATTTCTTAAAGAAAGCAAATACTCATTTTGAAGGGTCTGAAAACTAGATTTAAGACTTATGAGTACATTATTTTCAGTTTATCCTCAGTACATATGGAGTTGAGAGTATTTCCATGCTGAAGAGCTCAGATACAGGAGCAGTGAGTGCATTCCAAATGTCTTGCTGTCTGGTCATTTGCAGAATATTGTCTCACCACTGTACATAGGTGGGTTTGTTTTTCTTGGTGCATTCTAAGAGAGATTTGTATCTTGGGACATTAGAAGAAGTGATCTGTTAAGATTTAGCAGTTAGGATATATAAATAGCTTATTTAAATATAAATATAGTTGTATGCATATAGCTTTGCTGTTAAATGTAGCTAACATGTAAAAATGTTTCAGGTTTAAAATCTCAAATTCATAATAGCAGTAGTTAACAGAGTTGCAGTTGGCTTATTTGAGGTAAGTGAAGATGACAAGTATAGAAAAACTGTCCCATTGAAGGGGAAAATGCCATCATGCACACGCCTTGAACATGCATGGTACAAAACTCAGTAACTCAATTATGAGCAGCATGTCATCTCTGAATTTTTTATCTTATTTTTATTAAGTAATAATTTACTTCCCTAAATTTTAGCACTGTTTCTAAAGCTTTCTCATTCTTCATAAATAAATTAAGTTGTAGGCCACATCCTATTAGGTCTGCAAATTCACAGCTATCATACCCCAGTATGAAAACACAGATCTCTTATGCAGTGTGCTGTCTGTTCTTCAGTCACTGCTGGTGTCAGAGCAGATTTCTGTGTACATACATACATAAATATTTATATTTACTACTGTGTATGTATATATATATATTTAAAATACATTGGTCCTGGACAGTTCATGTCCCTTCCATGAGCTCCCTCTACTGGTGTCAGGGAATTCTCTCAGGTTACAACTGTTCTGATTTTTCCCAAATTTTTTTGCATCATCCAGTCGTACCTTCAGCATGAATATATTTGTATGTTTACTTCAGTGGATTTTAACTTATTTTTTTATTATTTTTGTGGTTTTCACATGCTTATGCTGATAGTTGCAAAGCCTTGAGACTTCCTGAACTTCCATTCTATCAGTATTCTAAAACTTTATTGCTCTTATATCATACAAGGCTTTCAGTTTCTGCAAAGTCATCTTGTAAGTGCTTGAGCTATTGATGAGTTTTTAGTCTGTTGGTTCACTGAATTTTCTGGGATTTCTTATAACTGAGGTTGACTCTGCCTTTTTTTCAGCCTCAGCTAGACAAAAGTCTCATGATTTTCAGGTAAAATTCAATATCATGTATTAAATATATTGTATCACACGGAGTGACACAAGCCCTCTTTACACATCAAAATCTACTCCTTAAAGAAAAGATTTTGTCTTGAAAAAAAAAGTGAATTGAAGTCAAGTGTTAAAATACACCTGACTCATATTTGTGCTTGGTAAGCCAATAGAGTTCATCTTAATGGAGTAAAACTTTCAAACATATTTGCCAAGAAGAAATTCAGACTGGCACTTACTGATACAAAATTTCAATGGGAAATGCTGGCATCTGTAAGTGGGAGGTAGAAATACATGTTAAAGACCATGCTGATTATAAACACCTTGTAAAATAGAAAAGTTAATGTAAAAACATTACACTCCTCCCTCCGTGTCTCAGAAACTATTGATGCTGCTAAAAAGCTTCAGTGCCTCTGGATCTTTAATTTCACTGCCTTGTTACAAAGTACAGATAATTAGTCTTCTAAAGGGTTCTGCTGCTTCATGAGAATGACATATCCTTATTTTCGGTTGCTGATCATATATTTTGTACATTCTACATTTGAGAAAGGGTTGAGAGGTTGACATGAGGGATTTTTTCCAATGAGACCATGAATTCCAGGTTTATGCTACTCTCAGTGAACCTGCACCATAGCTGCTGTATGATCTCTGTGATATTCTCTGAGTGATACTTAGCCCTGTATGTGGACCTGGCGTCGGGAAAACTGCTGGGAAAAAAACCTACAGATGAATGCATATTGATGCAGTGAATAGCAGATGTGGTTTGGCAATATGGAGTTCTTTGCAATCTTCAGTGTGCTTTTCTTCTGGTCACCAGTCCCTTTTCTAGTTGTCAGTGCTCTATCCACATGACAGTGGATATGCATGAGGGAGACCTTTGGGATTTATTTGGGAATTAAAGCTTCTGCACATGGCTTGTGACTCCCTGAGCAGAAGTTTGGCATTGCAGGTATGTAACAAAGCAGAAGTGATGATGGTATTCTCAATGGCTTACTGAAACAGCCCTGGGGATGTTGGCTGTCCAAATGCCCTGGAAATTCTGCCTTTTGGGGTTTTCCCCCCCTTGATTCTTTGTGAGTAAAAAGAAAAGGTGTGAAGGCTGAGAATGTAATGTTACATTCAATATTCTTGCAAGTGCTTTATTAAACATGAGTTATGTGATTTCTATTGTTCCTGTTAACTCTTGTTACTCTCTTCTTGCCCCATCAGGCTGTGAACATTTTTAGATACCAATCTGCCTTAGGTCCTTTTAGGAGAGGGAAAAGGAGGGCAGCAGCAGGCTGCTTTCATTTTATAGAAATGGCAGCCTAATTTCAGACTAAGGTCTATGAATATATCTGCATCTAAAGTGTTATGCTGCTCATTGTGGGAAGTTAGGTGTTCAGAAAGATGAGGGAGTAGAGGAAAATGGTATCAAATTTCAGAGCTGGTGATACAGTTTGTGGACTGTCAGTGTTCTCAGGTGTCTGTGAGCTGTAAAATTGCCTCTTGGCTGCTTAATTATCCAGAGGAGAATGCCAACTGGCAAGAGTGCTGTATAGAATATTTTTTTAAGTCTTCATTTAAAATTCAAATTGAATAACATTTTTTTATCACTGCACTCATTAGTATAGAGTTGCACTTGTAATGCTTATAAGAACACACTTAACCTAATATCAGAAGCTAATTGTTAAATTGCAGTGTCCATTTTGCAGGGCATTGACTTTTCTTGCACACCTTGTTCAATGAGCAGTTTAAGCAATAAAGTAAATGTTTGGTATTGGTAATGCTTTAAGAGAACTGCTACATGACTGGAGGGACATAAAATGGTTAACCTGTGGCAAACCATTTTCTATTAGATTACCCATTAAATACTGTTTTAGTGAGTAATGCACTGTACTTGTAGCTAGAGTACTTTATATAAGATTTGTGTAAGGGAAATATATAGATTTTATTTAAGCATTTTTATGAAATTGATTATAGTTATCAGTTTTAAGCATTTTTGCCTCTTTTTACCCGCAGTATGGATGGAGCAGACCTGTGTTTTGAAATTGTGAAGAGAGCAGATGCTGGATTTGTCTACAGCGAGGCTGTAGCCAGGTATTTATTATAATTTTAATTAATCCCTCAGGATAAATAGAAAAGAATGGAATATACTGTTGTACAATCTGTTAGCTAAAAGTTGAAAGTTGGAGTACTATAAATAATTCTGTTTCCACACTCTAGATGTTTACTGCAATAATTAGCACAATCAAAGTAGAATTTTGGAGCATTTTGCCATTTACTAGTTACAGATTTGGATGAAATTACTGAGTAAAACTGTATTTCACATCCAATACCTAATTGGCTGTGTTTGCCTTTATGGATCTCTCATATGATGGCATTAAGTGACTTGCCTGACAGGGTGAGAATTTTACTGGTCTTTTTAGATGGAGTTGGTTTGGTTTTTTCTTTCTTATGTATCACTGTATTTATGGTCACTTCACCTTTTCACTTATGTGATTAACTAAGATGAAAGAATCTATAAGATTGCAAAAGGGTAATGAAACCCACTGTCCTAGTGGCTTGACAGTTGAGCCCAGAGCCTGCAGAATTCTTTCTTTGCTTTTCTCAACATTGTAGATTTTCTAGCATCACAGAAACCAGGTTGGACAGACATCAATGTCTGTATTTCAACCTGCTGCTCCAGGCAGGGTCTGCACAGTATCTGTGTCATGTTGCTCAAGGCTTTGTCCAGTGGGGTCTAGAATACCTCCAAGGAGGGAGATTACACAGCCTTCTGAGCAGCTTGATCCAGTGCATTGTTACGTTCCTATGGAAAAAAACATTGCCTTTAACCAGCTGGAGCCTCCAGAGGACGAGGATTGCCTCTCCTAGCCCACAGGAATGCTCTGATGCAGCACAGGATGCTGTTGGATGTGTTGGCTTTGCTGTGGTCAGTGATCTGTTAGGGCATCCTGGGGACACAGTGGAGAAAGAGGTTGCTCTCCAGTCTACATCAAGCAACCCAAGACCTTGGTGCAGTCCTTTTCCAGATAAATTAGGCACTGATACTCACTTTTTTCTTTCTTTTTTCTTTTGTGTTTTGTTGCTAAAAAAAAAGTGGAGGGTCCCTGACTTCCTTGTCATATCAAGCAGAATTATTGAACATTCGAAACCTTTACAAAAACCTGAAAAACACTGATTTTTCTTTTCTAATTTCCCTCAGCTTCAATCAGAATAATTCTCAAACTTTAGATTGTATTATTATAAGCATAAACTCCATTCTATTGAATTCTGTATGTTTGAGGTTAAATTGATTGATTAATTTTATACAGTTAGACTCTTAAAACTTAGATTGTTAAATGTGTTTTTAGTAGTTTTTCCTGCAGGTTTGTCATGCATAATGTGTTTGTTTTTTCAGTCATTACATGAGACAGATACTGGAAGCTCTACGTTACTGTCATGATAATAATATAATTCACAGAGATGTGAAGGTAAGGGGGCTTAATTGCTTTTTTTTTTCTCCACCATAATAATGCAAACTACTGAATTTCAATTTCTGTAGTTTAGAGAAGGGAGGAGCTATAGAAGAGGAATCTCTATTTGCTGAGTGTTTCTTTACTCTTACTGTGTCATGTAAGATTAAATCCCACCCTAATTCCATCAATACAGAACATTTAGGAGGTCTGTATTCACAAATTATGCATGCATTTGATTACAACTTGCTTTGAAAGTCAGTTTAATTTCTAGTTTTTGAATATTCATATGGAATCTGCTTGCATTTTTTTCTTGTTAGGAAAATGTGTATATAAATTAATTGCATAAATTAAACTAGAATTGGTAGTTTATTGGCATCAATTTGAAAGCATAATGACAGCCTTCATTCACACTAAGATTTCATAGAGATGCACACACTTAAATGCTACAGTATTAGTAATATTATCTACTTCTTGGAGATAGTCCAATAAACATTTATTATTATGAAAACTTCTTTAATATAAATAAGTTTGTGAGGAGAAATGCAGTGTTTAAGACCAGTGTGTGTACATATTGGTTTTGATCTGGTAAACTTTGTACTGTTTCTATGGATATTTATGGATGTAGTTTATCCCAAAGTACTTTAATGTAGCAGTCTGGGAGTTTTAACCCACTTGACTCTCTTCAATTTGAATATGCATATTTTTTGTTAATGTCATTGCCTTAAGAAGCTATTCCCACTGCTCCAAGAGTTTGGTTTCACCCAAAGAGAGTCAAGCGCTGTAGGAATTAAGGAAAATTCTAGCAAGCTCTTATGGTGCAGTTTGAGAAGTGACTCTTGGATTTTAGTTAATAGAGAAGATTGAGAGAGTGTTTACTGTGTTCAAACTCCTGCAGGTGACCTGTGAGGGGAAAGAGTACAGACATTGAACTGGTGTTTTTTATAAGGAGTCGTTTGGTCTTCTGTACCCAGACATTGCAGACTATTCCCAGCCTCCTACTCCTTCCTTTTAAAATCAAGAAGGTTATTATGTAACACACTTTAAGTTTCATGTTTTAATAGTCATTTCTTAAAACAGATTCTAAAAATGGGCTCTTAATTGCTGGTAGAATATCTCATCTTGTTCTGTATTGATGATTCTAGGTACTTTCAATTGTTTGGTTTTGGTACCAAATGAATTTCAAAATTAACCTCATCTTGATGTTGCTGTGTCTTCATGAAACCTCCATCTGTCTTTCTTGGACCATATTCTTGAAAAAAAAAACCAAGTTTTAGCTTCAAGGGCCTCTGAGGGAGGCCCATTTCACTAAGGGTAAAGTGGGAATTTATTTCAGTGCTTATCCTGCCTCTTAGAACCTCAGAATCACAGGGGTTTTTTTATATCCTTATAAATGAACCCGTTCAAATTACATGGGTTAGGAAAAATGTCTAAGGTATCAGTCTAAAGCAGTGTAAAGCAAGTTTTGTTTTGGCAAAAGCAGTGCAGAGCTGTAGGGCTTGGGAGTAGAACACATTAAACTAACTGCAGTATCCAGGCTCTAGATGTCACTGTAGACATTGTTTTGAAAGGAAGTAGACTAAATGACCTCTTTAGAAATTACGAATGGATGAAAGTGCTTTAATAAAATCTGTAAGGCTGATACAGTCCGGCTACATTTTTCTCCCTTTTAGACTTTCTGTGAATGTTATTTTGAAATGTGAAATGCTTGGTTGTTTTCTGCTGCACAGGAAAATCAGCACCCTATCGCCCATGTAAGGTTTAGGTGTCTTTCAGCTGGTTTTGTACTCCCTTAGCTCCTGTCTGATTAGAAAGTTAGGCAGTTTAGGGTAGACAGAATTCAAGTTTGCTGTTGTCTGTTGCCAGAAACTTCACCTGACTTTTCCAAGTGACTCCAGTCTGGGACAAACTCCCTGTGCCCCACATTCACTTCTGATAACAGAATCAAAATGTGAAAGCCTTCACAAGATGACCTGTACTTGTCCTAATTGCTCTCACTGCTCTGTGAGACCAGGTGTCTCTTGATCCTGTGCACATCATTTGACCCCCTTCACCATTGCTTAAAGGCTTTATAATCAGTGACAATTGCACATTTGCTTCACCCTCAGTTAATGTGATCCTGCAGTGCTTGGCAGCTGGATATGGTAAGGAAAACAGAAGATGCAGGAAGGTAGAAAACTCAAGACAGCTGAGAATCAGAAATGCAAATGTCAAGAACTTTTTCCCTCACCACAATATTTGTTCCTGTTCAGCCAACCTACTGATAGAGGACTCAGCCATTCCTTTTATTCTGTCATAACCATGCTGTGTCAGGGATACCCAGTGGTGGCTGTTGAAAGTAGCAGCATTGAAAGGGAATCTTTTCCATTACCAAATGTTATTACAGAGCAGTTTGTGTACAGAGAAATCTTTATGTAAGAGAACAACAAAAGGGAAGGGGGAGAGATGTGGGTCTGAAATGAGATTCTTGTCTTTTCTTGTAAAACTCTTGCCGCAATTTGAGTACCATTTGTTACTGGCTTTTTTTTTGCAGAAACTTTCTCAGAATGGTTTTTATCAGTAAAACATCAAGAGGTTTTGCAATCTTTTGTGAGCCTCTATTGTTATGTAGAACTTTCCATAGTTGCAAAAACCCTGTTACAAAAATACCTTTTAATATAACGGATGTAAGAATAATTTAATCACATCAAGATCTTTAATTGCTGGGTTTTTTTCCTTAATTCATTCCAAGCACTCTAGCTTTGTTCTGATTTCCATGTAGTTTGAGTATCTGTATGTGTTACTGATTAGAAGACTGGTGTGCAGATGGGGTCAGAGTGAGCCTGTCAGCAAAATGCAGACTTCCAAAGTTTTCATTATGGCTTTATCTTAGTAGGTATGAATGCTTGTTTCTTATATGTGATAATCTAAATAGATAAGCCTGCTAAAGCAAAAATGCACGTATTCTGCCTTCTCTGTCATTAAGATTAATGAATGTTCAGTAGTTCTGTGATTGGGAGTCAAAACCAGGGAGTTTTTGCAAGGAATGGGACCAAGAATTATTCTCTGCACTGTGTGTCTTATACACATCTGAGTTGGTCCAGGTGACCTGAGACTTGATCTGTGGATAGATTTGCATGGTGATTTTTGCACTGTACAGAACTTAACCTGTGACACAAATTCTGAGAGTGCACACAGTTACCACTTCTGTCTTTCATTGCCTGAGCTGCTTGTAGTTCAGCATTTCAGATTTTGCTGGTAGACTTCAATACTCTTACACTTCTGCTTTTAGGCATATCTAAAAATGAGTAAAAGTAGTATATATATGTTTATGTGTGTTTATGTAACTTTATACTGACTATTTAAAAGATAGCCAGAGTGGAATCTATTCTTTAAGACGATCTTCCTGTTTCAATCTTTGAATACCCAAAACAAGAAATCTGTTGCATGTTACTTTCCTTCCACTCTTTTCACTTTGAAACTTCTTTTACACTTTCTGGGGACATTCAGTAATAATTTTTTTTTTTGTATTTGCTAGAACTTACTAGATCCTTGAGATCCAGTATTAACGTCTTGGTGAGGATTTTGTTACATATTGAATTGTTGCAAAGTGATTAAGGCTGCAAAATCACTATCAGAGGTGCAGTTGAAGTGTCCTACCTGGCCACATTTTTTTCTGAGGAACACTTCCTCATTCAATGGACAAGAGACTACAAAAGCAAAACTTTCAGTACTTTTTCTCAGTGTTTCTTCAGGCAGTGCTCTTTTCCCCCTGTTTATTTTCACTCCTGTGCCTCTGCTTCCTGTCTCAAGGTCCCCATGCTTGTTTTGTCCAGCCTTTTTCCTATTGACCTGTTAGTATGTTCCAAAGCAGATTTTCTGAGAAGCATATTTATTCTGCTTGGCCTGTCTGGAGTTGAACATTTACAAACTTTCTGGTCACTAAGTTTATATGTTTCAGTCATTTGCTCACACAGTCAAAAAACTCATGTCTTCTGATCAATGAGCAGGCTTCCCATGCAGCACATTTGAATGGCTTAACCAAAAATTTGAGAGATACTTGTGGTCTCTAACCTGCTTTGCAAACCAGGTGCTGTGCCTATTTGCCTTATGATTTTGTGCTCACTGCAGTAGAAGTGAATTGTTTTATTGTTTTTATTAAACAATTTATGTGTCACCTGCTAACTTCTGATTTTGGCACCAGCATGTCTAAGCAATGCAAGAAGTTTGCCACATGAGCTGTGTTTTGCTGTAGTGTTTCTCTTACTCTCCCTCATGCCTTTAAATTTTGGGGGATTTTTCCTCCATTAACTTTTCTGTCAAATGCTAGACCAGTGCAGGACTCAATTTGTAGTTTCTCAAATTGCCTGTACTGCACAAAAGTTTTTTCACTATTTGAAGCAAGAAAAGCTTTGATGCATATAAGAACTTTACAGGACATCATCTTGGGCAGATTATCTAGGAAAAAAGTCGGGCATATGTCATGTTTTGGGGCTATTTAGAAGTGTTGGAGTGGGATCTTGCTCACAGTCTGTCACAAAGTTATATTTGATTAATAGTTCTCAAAGTTTCATTCATTTTCTTGCCTTTTTGATAAGCAATGGGGAACAAGTGATTATGACTAGGAAAGTGTAGAAGGAATGACTTCAGCCTATGGTGGCCTCAAAAACTGTGTTTAGAGAAGCAACCCCAGGCAGGCATTGTGCTGAGATAGCTGCAGCTACATTCCCTATGAAATGTACTTCAGGAAAGGACAGAAGTGGTTTGGTTTGAGTTTGTGTCTGTGCAAATTAGAAGAGCACTTTGGTAGTGCTCACCCAGACTTGCAGCTGATGATCTAAAACCATTCCTGCCAGCAGCACTTTGCCATCTGCAAAACTTGGACTGCTCAGTTCTGTCCTGCTGCAGTTACTTGGCCACTGGATGTGTAGCACAGTTATGGTTCAGCCATCTCAAGGAAAGTGTCTGTGCTTTGTTCAGTATTCTTGTAAAGGGAACCTGTGTCCAGAACACCTACTGATAACAAGAGAGACATGGGT